CGGGCAGTCTCCACCCCCTCTCTACACGGACTCTCTGTTGTCAACAGATGCGGACCCATAATGCCACAGCAATGTCCGCTTTGCCCTCTCGTTTGCGGAGGATGTTCAGCGGAACCGCGCTTCCCGACGTGTCGGCGGGCGCGGGTTGTGCGCCAGTGCTCTTACATGCTCAGTGGCGGACGTCAGGCGTGAGAGGCGGTGTGGGAGTAGGGTGGGGTGGTAAAGAGCCAAGGAGCTCGAGCCGACCAGGACTCCACAGGTCGTCGTCATTGGGATGCTCCAGGAAACTCGCACCTGCTGGTACCGCTAAGTGCTAAGCGTCGGCGGCCCTTCTTGCAAGGAATTGCACGCCGGGCGGCCGTCAGAGAGGTGGTGGTGCTGCTGAACATCGTCCTAGGTCAGCTTGAGTCTGCCATGCTGCACAAGCATCTGCACGCGAACCTATGCCGCACTTGCACACGGTAATGTAGCATCTGCTCCTCACATGGAAATCTGCTTCAGAAGCGTGCCCACATCTCAAGATCGAAGATTGTGTAAACTCTTTGTAAAGGAAACTGAAGAACCCTGTGCTCCGAGTTTCAAAAAAAGTGCCAGTGGGTGCTGGGGGCCAGTAGATGAAGCTCCACTCGGTCCTGGACTCTGAGCCGACAACGGAGTGGCAGCTTGCATCCCAACTCCGCCCCCCACGATGTGTCACCCGAAAGGTGCGCACCTCGGTGACGGATTGCTTGGAGCAAGCTGGGTCTCCAGGAATCCGGCCTTGGCAGATAGCTCTCAGCAAAAACTTCTAGCCAGAAAGAAACGCTGGGTTTCAATGCATCGAGCCTCCATCACGGCCACGTAAGGGCACCCGGTGCGAGGGCGGAGGAGGGATCCAAAGTCTGCGATGAGCACGTGCGGGCTCACGAGCTCCACCTCCCAAGAGGAAACCAAGGCCCACGGCGCCCAGGGCCATTTTTCCTATCTTTTTCCTTAAGTCTCCGGCCGTCATGGTGGCTTCTGTGAGGCATTGGGCTGCACAATCCTCTGCGGTGCCCTGGGCTCGGTCTTTGAGTTCTCTTTACACGTAAAGACACTCAAAAAAGAAACAAGCTTTTGTCTCGCAACTGCAGATTGGAGACGCAGCCGCAAATGCCCGGATCTTCGGGTGTGGCGATGGGCAAGAAGGTCGGACACAGGCTGAGCCTGCTTTGGTCCCCACTCGAAGCTACCGCCAAGAATCACACCAATATCATATAAGAATACGAGAAAAGGCAATAAGAAAAACGGTAATCATGATAATGGCAACCGTAATCGTATACGTAATAATAGTGCGGTTGGGGGGGGGGGCGGCGAAGGCGGGGCCCGGGCCTTGCACCTTCCGTTCCGAGCTGCAGGTCCACTTCGAAGACGACGATTAGCCTGGCAGCTCGGCTGTGCACTTCTGCTTCTTCTTCTTCTTCCGGTTCCTGGTTTTGGGCAACGGCGAATGTCGCACAGGAATTGCGCACCTCGTCGGCGCCGCTGCTGGCGAGATGAAGCCGTCAGGCTCCAGGTACGTTGGCGCGTTGACCTGTCGGGGCTACGGCCTTTACAGCACATGGCGTGAGGATGCATGAGGCCTAGAACCGCGGAGAAAGTGCTCAGGCCGCTGCCATCGGCACGAAGTCGGTGCGCAGCGGATCCTCCGCGGCATGTCCGTTGCAACATGCAGGCAGCACGAGGCATAAACTCTCATAAACAATACTGGTACCTTATTGGACTGATGCGGGGCAACCTCGTACTGGCCTGCTAGGCCACTCACTCTTTCTGTGCTGAAGTCTGTGTCAACGTACAGACGAGGAAACAAGACAACTACCCACACCCACACACACACACACAC